GTTGGTTTCTAAGGAAAAAGTCATTATTTTAGTCTTAAAAAACAGCTTCATAGTTACAAGCTACAACAGTGTAACACAATTTATTGATGTATTAGAATAATTTATTAACATAAACCTATTTTTTCTTACAAAAATAAAAATTTAACTTCAGTAGTTACAGTTACTGATGACCTGTAGTGCAGTAAATAATACATAAGAATGTCATACAGATATTTTACTTTGGATTAAACATTTATTCACAAATCAGTTTAATCCTTAAAAATTTATGACCCTACCCTACAGCAACAATCTGTGCAGGAACCATCGAGTTGGATTGAACTTTATTGACGGAAATTGAATAACAACTCAACAGCAACCAGGTGTTGGCTGCAGGCTGGTACCAGATGAAAATGTGTTTTAAGAACGTGTTTATTTTCATTTGGTTTTGACGTAAGTCGCAACACATTTGAGTCACACTATGAATCAGACTTGGGAGCGGCTTCTTGCTCTGAGACTTGCCCTTGCTCCCCATCAGACTGAGGCCCGCACACTGGCTGTTATGGGTTAAAACAATGACTGGTGCTTCTTTGTTGTGACTTGGAGTCATTTACTGGGGTCTTAACTCATCCACAGGAATGTGAATGGGTGGGTTTCTGGTTGCATGCACTGTGTAAGAGACTCAGCTCTTTTCAACATAAGAACTTAAAATCCCCTAAAACAAACATCACTACAAACTTTCTGAGTTCCATAGCGTGTACTGTCATGATACTACTGGCTAGAAAGGTTTGTATACATACTGTGTAAATCGTAAAGATTTATGGCAGGCTAAAAATGGTGTATAAACTTAATACTACACATCAAAGTGGTAGATGGTTCCATCTCCATTAAAAAAGAAATCTACATATGAAAAAAAAATACAATGAATAGATTTACTCTCCATTGCATCAGTTTTGGGCTTTGGAGATAATTTTATTTAAATATTACATAAATCATTAATGTTGGATTGTGAACCTTCCCCTGAATTAAAAGTTTCATCTGCTCTGAATCACCAAAAACAGCTTTTCTGTTTATGGAAGAAATGGGTCATAGTCTTATTTAAATGATATTAAATTAATTGAATTGCGAAGTCAAAACCAACTAATCTTCTTCTTCAGCGAGACAGTGGCCAGTATAATGATTCTGGTTATTTTCCTTTGAATTTCCTGACTTCTGTACAAATGTTTAATTGAATCAGCTGAACTTTTTAAATGTCCCATACATGACTGAAAAACTGCAGTAGCTGAAATAACAGTTACTTCATACGATTTATTTAAAATTGCTTTAAATGCATAGACATACAGATAATCAAAGTAGAATTAATATAACACAAAAAGGGAATGAAAAGAACATTTATAGTATCTTTGAGATGTAGGTTATGTTTTTGTCTGTTTTTGTCATGTAACGGCTGTGTGAAGGCAGGAATAGGACCCAAGGTGCAGACACTTGGAGGCAAAAGTGTACTTCCAAAACTCAGCTTTATTGCTGGAGGGCAAAACGTAACAAAAACCCAAAAATACAAAATAAACTTAAACAGGCAGACAGACAGAACACACAGCATGAACAAGGGTAGAAAAGAGTAGATCGCGACACTGACAAACTGAAACACAGGGCTTAAATACATAGAGGGAGCAATCAGGGAATGGGCAACAGGAGGGAGACACAGCTGGGGCAAATCAGGCCTAACGAGACAAGGGGAAGCAAAACCAGACACATTAACATGAGACATGGACTTTCAAAGTAAAACAGGAAACATAACACAGACTCACAGGCAAGCACTATAACAAAGGGAACAGAGACGTGACGTCAGACACAGACACTGACTGGACGTGGGGATACTGCAGACAGGGGAGACAGCAACTATGGAACACAGACAGAAAACCAGAGAACCTAAACTAAGAATAATCCTAAAACCCATAAAGCAAAGCTAGAATATAATGAAATAACAAAATCAAAGAACCAAAAACACAAAACACTGGGTCGACGACCCAGGGACCCTAACAGTTTTCCTCACAAAGGGAATTTTAAAACTGTTCTAAAGTTTCTAAAATTTTATCAACTGGTTTCTTATTTAGGCTACAAATCTAATAGCCACAGAGAGCATTAACATCACATTTCTGGTCACCTGGACCGATATTCACTCTCATTTTAGACTGCACTAACAAATAAAGGAGATAATTGGGCCTTTTGAGTTTAAACGCACCATTTAAAGTTAAATGGGAATTTTACAGTGGAGTAAAAATGAAACTGGAAATGAAACTAATTTGAGGTCTGAGAATAAACCAAAACTAAGTAAAATTAAGATCTTATATGCAACAACAATGAGATGGCTTTTCATTAGTGTCAGTTAGCTATTCAAGCTGCCCTTAATAGGGTCAACAAGGCATTTAATATACATATTTAGGAAAAAAAAAAACGTGTGTAATGTGTAAACACAGGTTAAAGTAGTTGTACTGTGATGTGTCTTTGTTTTTTGAGCCTTTACTGCTGTGGTTTTTCCACGAATATGGTTGCACACCTTTCACAGAAAAGTTCTCGTCATAACTTTTCCCATCGTGACTCTGAACCTTATTCAGGCTCTACGTAGACAAAACAATCAGGCAACATGCCAGCCTAATGTCACGGCAAAACAAAGCTTAGAATTTCCATTTTATTTTGCCAGCACTTTTATTGAGGTTTACTTATGATGCACAAGGGGGCTGAATTGTTCACGGCTCTTGATGGATACACTGGAATTTAAACTGTGACCTTTCGGTTTCCAGCAGCTTCTCTAAATCCTAAAGAAACCCTGCAAGGCTGGTTTGTTTGATGTGTTTTCACCCCTCGCAGAGCACCTGAAAGGGAAACAAATGATTTCCATTCTAGTTTTAATCATGCATGTGCCAGACTCGGAGTTCAGGCAATTCTTCCACTTCATTGCTTTAATGAAAGATGAATTATTTCTGTGGTTGCATTAAACACCCACCCATATCAGCTGTGTCTCATGACAAACGGTAACTTATGTCTTTGATACCTGGAGGGTGATGAATGCGGGCTAAAACGAACGGTTTCTTGCCAGAACAAGATGCACACGCTCTTTGAAAAAGTGAGGCTTCATCCAAAAGTGGTTCCTAGGATGAAGGGGGAATGTTCGAGGCACTCCAGCAATTTCCTTTGCCAACAAAATTACTGAACTATGAGTTCTTGGCAACTTTATGCATCTAGTGTAATGACACCTCTTTACTTGTCTCATCCTATTAACTTGTCACATACTCTAGTGCACCTTCTCATGTTATTCGCCAAAGTTCACAGTCTGCACACTATATTGCGGACCATTTTAGGTAATATACTGAATGCCCAAAAGGCATGTTACAAGAACTTTGTTATGTGATCCCGAGTTCTTGTTTTTCTTTCATTTAAAAATAAACCAAACCGCTGCACACTAATTACTGAAAAGGACAGAAAGAAACAATATGCTAATCCAGAGATACTACCTGCAAAAGGCTTTCTATCCCAGCAGTCTTTGGTAAATATCCCCATCGCGGTGCATAAATAAAACTGCTTACCGGTGTCTTCTGGGGATGCATGCTTGGCGTATTTATTTATTCCAATTGGATCCGTCCTAAAACCTTCATTCCTGCCACAGGCAAAGTGCGCAGAGGTAAACAAGGGCAGCTCAAAGTCTTTGCATATGTCCCCCTTCTGTGCGACTTGATGAATCTGTTGTGAAGGTGAATCTTGGTGGCGTTACGTGCTCAGACTTTAAAACAAATGGCCACTGCAGAAATTAAACTTCATGGGTCACAAAAATTTCTTAATCACTGACATCAAGTTATTATTGTTGTAAAATATATAGTGTAGATATGTAGATGCATGGATTTAGATATAAACACCCCGTTGTGACTCTAGTGAAAATGGATGTCCCGAGTACGATCATATCAGGCACACAGGTGTGGGTGAGCACAGAAGCCCCACCCACCTGCTGTTCAAACCTTCTGTTTGTAAGTCCAGCAAATCAAATGAAAGATGGCTCCAAGGGAGAGAAGAGGAACTAAAACATCTTGTTTCAGTCCGGTCTTCCTCCCCTCACCCCCAGCCGCTCATGGCAGATGGCTGCCCTTCCCTGAGCTTGTTTCTTCCTGTTATTCTGACGTTTTTCTTTCCCCCTGTCACCAAGTGTTTGCTCACAGCGGCTTGTTTGATTGGTGGGGATTTCTCTGTATTGTTGTAAGGTCTTTACATTGCTATATAAAGCACTTCGAGGTGACCACTGTTGGGATTTAGTGCTTTATAAACAAATTGAACTGAAATGAAATTGAATTCAGAGAGAGGGTGAATTAAAGGGCTGCAGCAAGGCTCCGTTTAGGATAAATAAAAAATGTTTTGGTCTGTGACTCATGCAAAGTTGTTCTAGTAGATTCCCCAAATACAAATCTGGAGCTGGAAATAATCATAACACGTCCCATTTGGAGAAAGTAGCCTCATATTTAGACTTAATGATCATTTCATGCAAACTTTTATGGCTATAGCTGAAGTAGCCAGAAAAAATTCAACGTTAGCAGCTATCCAGGAGGTGCAACAGCAACTATATTGTTGATATAATGAGCTGATTTAGCAAAATTCCTCTTATAGGTAAAATATTTGACATCCAGGCCTTATAAACGAGTCATTGGCTGTGGAACAACAAATTAATATTTGATCCAAAAATGCTCCCTTTACTAGCACATGTGGAGGAAAGGTAGTAGCTATTCAGTCAGTCATAAAGCACATAAATAACTTTGAACGTCAGTGGTACCTGGGTGTATTAAACGTTTAGCTTTAATACTTATTTTCTCAAATTGGCTGAAAGAAATCAACACTTTTTGCTGGACTGAAGGGATATTGAGCCTGCTAATTATGTTTAGTCTGCTTCGTTGACCCTGACTGTGTTCTTTTAGTTTTCATATTTTAATTCATCCAGACTTTGTAGCCACTTTCCCACAGCCTGTTATTTGTTCTTCTCACAGAGCCAGGCCCTGGCCCACTACAAGGGCACCAAACATGCCAAGAAGCTAAAAGCCCTGGACGCCCCGAAGAGTAAGCTCAAAGGCTCAGTGGTCACCAAGGAAACCGCCAACCAGGAGATGGCCAAGGGCATCAACACCTCACAGGTCCCCAACAACACTGAGAGGAAAGGTTTGTATTTTCCTGCCTGCATATTCCTATTTGTTGCTGTTCTTTATGTAGATGGAGCCCTTCTGTTGGGAATCATCATTAAACCTCCAAGCCTTCCTATTTGGCATTTTTGATTTGCTGCACTCAACTTGTAATCACTTTAGTACCTGGATAGACTCACTGTTGATTATAATAGCCCTGTGTTGTCTGGGTTGGCAATGAGGTAGGGCCTAAGTGTGCTTTTTGTGTTATCTAGTGCTGACAGGCAACAACACTTTGTGACAAAACATGTAATGCCCGCTCATTTGCATGAGTTGATTCCATTGGTGCAACTTATTGGGCAACTGGAAATCATTACATGGTAATCTGGCAACAAAAAAAAAAAAAGAAAACATCAAGCTCAGGCACTTTGTTACGTGCACACCAGTATTCCTGCTGTTTACCTTGCAATATATTAACCAAAGCTGAAATGACGTGCACCATAACTTTCCACTGCTGTAATATCCTCTCTGATACATTACAAACAGATGTGAGATGTTTGGGCACTTCTAATGGATGAATCTAGACTATAATTTCTGGATTACACCTCACTTCCTGGTACAAAGCACCCTGTTGCTTTTTTTGCATCTTCCTCTTCTGGCTTTCTACTTTGCATCTGCCCTTATTCCATTTTTAATTCCAGTTTTCTGGTTCACATTATCGTGTGCTGACTCTGTGTATCTTAATATTCATCATGTTGCAGCCAGGTGGCTTTCTAAATCCAGTCATCTTGGCCAGGTGTTTAGAGTCTGGGACTCTGTGGTATTCGTCTACTTAAAACATGTTTAAAGGTAAACACAAACTAACTGCAACTTTCAGCGCCTGACAGGAACCAGATGTACAATATATTAAATGGTTTTATCTTCTGTGTCCCGTATTGACCCTGTGGAGGATAACGTTTTTGGCACCTGAAAGCACTGCCGAGCAGCCCTGCCCTCTCTGTCTTCTGAAGCGTAATATTCCTTAAGCTGCCTATTATTATGTCATAAAATTGGCCCAATGAAAGTCTTCCCCTTTAACTGTAACAATAGACGTTTTTTAGAGTAATTAGAAACACATTGAGCTATTCTGCTCTGGGATTAATTTCAACCTTAAACCATGTCTTCTTCCAACGTTCCAAAGTATTTAAATTAGGAGCACATTTCTGGAGTGCATTTTGCATTGTGACCTATACATATGTAGAACCTTATACAGCCCTGACGCCTGAAGTTTAAAGCACCCATGTGACATGCAGCCTCATCACTGCCTCACACATCTGCATTCTAACGTGCAGTTACTTTGAGATACCCTCAAAAAAGAAGCTTCCTCACTGCTCATCATTTTTAGTTACTTGACAGAGTCTGTGGGTTCTCATTCATCGAGGTCATGGTATTCTAAGGAGCTTGGAGGGACAGTGACTGGACATCTATTTATACCAGGTTTTTATGCCTGGGATTCTCCACCATTTGGTTGTAGAACTGAAGAAGCTTCTCAGATGAGAGATGAAAAGTCCAGTTCTGCTTTTTTCCAAGAGCCTTAGATGACTTGACAGAGCGATTTCCTCAACTTTACGTCTCAGCCACAACCCAACACTACTTTGAATCCCTTTCCCACACGTCTGAGGCAGTGTTGCCAACTCCTCAGTAAGGAAAATCGCTATTGG